ATTTGAGAACACTGAATAATCTTTCCACCTCAGTCTTTGAAGAAGGAACTGCTAGCAAAAGTGAAATGACAATTACAAGGTTTTCGTAAATGAAATTACCATGATAATCTTTCATGGTACATGAAGTACCTGTATATTACAATACAAGTAAGTTCTGGTGACATCAACGAAAATAGGTAAATAAAAATTTGGCGGATTATACTTATTGGGATTCTGGGGAATCCCTAAGAAAAAGCAGTGGCTTAATCTATGATTTACTTTACTAGAGGGTTACTGTTGAATCAAACCTTTATAGTTTTTATACACAACTCTGTTTTATTCTTTTACTTGTCAACTCGACTTAATGTCATTCTCTCTCCATAAAATAAAATGTTCATTGTTTTACTTTAATTATCGTTTATTTTAAAATTCACAACAGTTACTAGTATAGGCTTTGCTTTTTACCCCGAAATATCCTAAATCCTGGTATTTTTTAAATTGTCTTTATCATCCAAAATATCAGCTATTTTTCCCTAAAAAAGGGAGAATTCCCTAAAAGTGGAAGCACTGCTTCAAAGTACGCTACATTTTTTATTGAGTCAGAACTCATATCTGCCATCTAGTGAGTTTATTAGATCATTAATGCCTAAAAGTTACAAAAATGACGTCGCCACAGGAGTAAGATGACGCTAGTTGTATGTTATTTTCCTTTGTATGGGAGTTGCACCCCCCTGGGTTGAAAGGTCGTCGTGGCGTTTCACATTGCGTAATCAAAGATTTATTTGACATGGAGATGCTCTTATTTTTTTATAAGTCAAAGTAGTGTGTAGTGTGGGAAAATTGCAATTAAACCACATTGATTATAGTCGCTTTACCACTTGTAGTCTAGTCGACAAGTTAAAAATGGTGTTAATTCGACATACTACTGCTAAAATTATGTGGTTTAGCTCATTCGATTCGGAATAATGTCTAGACCATTGTGCTAAAAAATTGAATTAGCACATAAAAAATTCCAAAAGTTATTAACAATTAAACACCTTCAAAAAATAGCGTTTCGTTTATTGCTTATTGTCCGTAAACTATAAATATTTTCGAAATTTGAAAAAAAGATCCTTAAAGAGGAGGAAATTTAGTAAAAAAAAGTTCCAACTCCCGGAACTGTAGCTCCATTATTTATAATTTTAATTTAACGCTGAAAATAGCCCGCCGCGCGCCATTGTTAGGTTGCGCGCACGGCCTCGAAAGCGAGTACGTCACTTAAAAAAAATTTTTTCAAGTACTTAAAGTTAATTGAAAAATCTAAAAAAATTATTGCATAATCTAAACACTTTAAAAAATTTATTCCTGTTGGAATTTTTTATAAAAACATATTTTTCAATATTCTAGACGATTGTTAATTAAGAATTTTTTTTCCAATTTCCATCATCCTTCTAAACTAAAAAAAATGTTTAATAATTACCTTAAAATTATTTCGCTTCGTGGACCTCTTCTTATAAATATATTAAACAAGATTGCGTCGTCTAAGTTATGAAATTGTTAATATTTTGTTAATAATAATTTTTTTAAGTTAACAAAAAAAGAAAAAGCACAATTATGTTGTAAAGAAATTTTTTTTCTTTATTTATTATTATATTTTCGTTTTGATGTCAATAAAAGACATCTTTTCATTGAAAAAAATATTTTTTTTTCTAAAAATCATAATTGACAGTTCTCTATAAAATTGTAAAAAAAAATTTTTCAAAAATATATAAATAGTCCATTTGTTAACAAAATGTTTATAAACAAATGGATAAGAAAAATATTTGGATAAAAAAAAATTCTTAATTAACAATCGTCTAGAATATTGAAAAATATGTTTTTATAAAAAATTCCAACGGGAATAAATTTTTTAAAGTGTTTAGATTATGCAATAATTTTTTTAGATTTTTCAATTAACTTTAAGTACTTGAAAAAATTTTTTTTAAGTGACGTACTCGCTTTCGAGGCCGTGCGCGCAACCTAACAATGGCGCGCGGCGGGCTGTTTTCAGCGTTAAATTAAAATTATAAATAATGGAGCTACAGTTCCGGGAGTTGGAACTTTTTTTTAATAAATTTCCTCCTCTTTAAGGATCTTTTTTCAAATTTCGAAAATATTTATAGTTTACGGACAATAAGCAATAAACGAAACGCTATTTTTTGAGGGTGTTTAATTGTTAATAACTTTTGGAATTTTTTATGTGCTAATTCAATTTTTTAGCACAATGGTCTAGACATTATTCCGAATCGAATGAGCTAAGCCACATAATTTTAGCAGTAGTATGTGGAATTAACACCATTTTAAACTTGTCGACTAGACTATTGCTACTCAACCGTATCATGCGGCGCAACTGTAGCAGAATCCAAATATTATATTTCAGTACAGTTTCATAATGTACAAAATTATTAAAACGGCAATTACTCGTAAGCTAAATGGTATCATATTATTCCAAGCCTCTAGCGGGGATTTAATCGCTCGTGCTCGGAACTTCATTTTAGTCATTTATAAAATAAAAACTTGGTACTAGAAAAATAATATTTGAAGTAAGACATTGAATTTGATCCATTGGCGCCGCAACAAGAGGCGAATTCTCCAGGACATAGGTATTTCATCTGCAAAACCTAGTCTGATCGCATACTTATAATTACCACGACGGGAATTATCTTTAGATTCCAGCCAGCGATTACTCATAATGATGTTATTGGAATGAATATGTTATATTCCAATCCGTTGGTCTGATCTGATTCATAACACCCTTGATTCCACTGTCTGCAATGTTCTCCGAGTAGCCGATGATTAAGATGGTACAGCATCTAAAAAACTAAAGTCATGGATGGAGGTGACAACGACCCTCAACGATCCTCAGGAAGACTGTATTACAAAATATTGCTTGTTACATTTTTGCTGTAGAATAATTGCAATCGTGTTTAGATAATAAATTATTGCATAGTCGATGATAATAGTCACTGCAGCCACGATGACTTTTCATTATTTGTCCTTTGCGATTTTTTTTCTGCCTAAATTTCTCTGATTTCTCCTTAAAACCTATTTAGAGGAATAGGAGCAGAAGTATACTTTTATTTGGTACATAGATTGATATCTCTGTCCTATTTCTGAAGTAAAGTAGTCGTTGTGTTTTAGTATCTCAAACGAGGCGACGGTATTCCCGATGAGATTTAGTCCTCGTGGCCTGCGAGAAATCTGGTGCATTCGTAAATAGCAATGCGACTATGCCAGTGTTCGAATCCCACAAGCGGGTACCAATTTTCCTGATGAAATACGTGCTTCAAAAATGTTCACGAATGACTTCTACAGTGAAGGAAATAAGACGGTGTAATAAAAATCAAACTCACTAAAACTATAATTTGCGTAATTACTGGTAGTGGGGCGTCATTTAAGCCCGCGCGGGTAGGTACCACCATGCGTTTCGGTTTGAAGGGCCCAGTTGTACTGAAAAACGGATACTTAGAGCTGATGTCTCACGGTGGGCGGTGGCATTACACATTAACACTAGCTGATCCGTGAGGTGGTCCACCCATCTTAACAATAACAAACTTAAAAAAGATGTCTATGGACCTCGAATGATCGTTTATTATCAGTCAAAAAATATATAGGAAAACTGTTGACAGCTTGACGATGGCTGCGATTAAACGCCTATTGATTTTTGAACTTGTTTGAGATAAAATGTGTATAAATTCAGATTTATTATTATTTGTAGGGAAGGGTTTATAGGGAACAGGAAGTGCTATGCATCTATTTATTCAGCTTGTGTGTGCAAGTTGCGTTTCTGATTGTTGAGTCTATCAGTTCTGTTTTGTGATCATAGTATATAATTTATAGTCAATATTTAGGCTTCGATCGAATTTTAACTATTTTATTGAACAAACCTTATATTTTCGCAAACGCTTTGCAGCTCTATTCGTTTTTTTTTCCGTGATGTAACAAAATAAACAACAACACTTTAATAAAAAAAGGTTTATATTTACTCATATAACAAACCGTGTCCAAATCAACAATTCTACGACTATCTTCAGCGTTCGTCGTTGTCACATAAAAACGTCATCCGCCAAAGCTTTGCTCGGCGGTCTGTCATCCTCAAACGTCACCATTTTATCTCTATTTTTAACACTCGATTTTGCCTCATGACTTTTACCACTAAACGGCGCCAAATCGTATAGGTCGCCTCCAGTTCCACTCAGATTAAATTCACTCAGACTTCTCGGAACAAAATACTCGACGCACTTCTCCGCGTGACCCGCTGACCGTCGCACAGGCGTGTTCCGTTGGAAGCTCTCCTCACCGTAGTTCGAAGATTTCCGCCTTGGAAGACTATTGAACTTGGTCGGGTTCGATCCGTCTATTTTGAAGGTCACCTGCTGGCGTTTTTCAGTGCAAGTCGGGAAACTAGCAGACGGCCCCGCGTCGGCCGTGTCTTTATGTCAGGAAACAATTGACATAGGTATTTTATCATCGCATATCTTCTCCACGCTGTGCACGGCTCGAGATTTCGCAGTTCCCGTACATAATGTCGTAAATTTCTTTAACATCGTACTCATGTCTTCTTGTATGAGATTAAAACACATAGCTATTATTACGATACCCACTAAAATGTAAATGCAGCACACGCCTACAGCTATATCTTCAGCCTTGGGAGAAACGGTGCTGGCATACAACCCTGGTTTCAAGTCACCAAAACCTATGGTTGCCAAACTTGCGAATGAAAAGAAACATCCGTCCATGAAGTCCCATTTCTCTGTCGTGTGGAATACAAAGGAGCCTAATCCTATATAAAGTACGATTAGAAAGAAACTAAGAATAATTGGCACACGAGTGTGGTCCCGACACGTCCAATGATAGCCACCACTAAAATTATCTAAATTTAACGCAGCTTGAAAAGGGGTCCGCTTTTGTTGTTCGCCACTGTACTTCTCCCTTTTGTCTTTACTGCACTCGCCTTGAACAGAGTGTCGGTTCAAACAGTCTGCTTTGGTGTGGAAGCTGTCGCTGTTCTGGCTCGATGGGCAGATCTTGGAATAAAGCACTCGGAAGTTTCGGGCCAGTGCTTCACCGATAGTGGAGAGATACAGCATAATTATGGGAATGCCGATGCAAGCATAGACCACAGCAACCATTTTCCCCACAGATGATTTAGGAGTGACGTTTCCATGGCCTGAAATCATCATCAAAACTATATTTTGTGAACTAAACCAGTTCAATTATTTTTTGGGAATGTTATTAAAAACCTTCTTTTTTTATAATTTATGTTTTATTGGTTGGTGTTGGTGTTGAGTGGGTAAGTGACTTTGTGACATGATGTCAAGGACCCAATTGAAAATGCATTACTTCCCAAAAGTAAGCCGAGATATATTCCCAGCATAGGTCATCATGCTTAAAATACCATCAATTAATGACAAATAATACTCAGAAATTACTTTCACCCATTCTTCTGTTAAGTATATACTAAATACAACAGTGTGAAAATACCTTATGAGCGTGTGTTAGTTACGTATCTACTTAGAAATAATGACACCTGTCTTAGAATTTGAAAACCGGCTTAGTCACTTGACATTATAAATTCATATGGTTCTCCATCCATCAAGTCAATATACAAACATAAGTCCAATGCTCTTTATAATTTGATTTACTCTGTTTCTAGTGAGATATACGAATATTCTTAATATGTTTTTACTATATCTATGGTGTGATGGATGGCAAGCAAATATAGGGCATTTAACAAATCTATATCGTATAGCCAGCCATAACGATAAATTTTTCAGCGTTTTGTTTGTGACAATAGTTTTTTATCTTACACATATTATGAACTAAAACTATTTTCGTTACCAATTTTTTTATTATTTGTTATGCTATTGCTCTTTTTGGTGTGATTAGACTGATAAGCTATCATTGTCATCATAGCGTATTTTAGTACCATTAGAGTTCATTACTCTGGATTAAGAGCCTCGAATCATTTTAAAAGACTGTAATTATTATCTTGAGACAAGAACTTCGGTCGTGTCGTTAATAGTTTTTCGACAAAATTTCAATGGATACTAAATCAATGTAGGATCCACACATACTATCGCTAATCTTATATTTACTAGTACACGTAAACTTACCAATCGTCGTGATCAAAGTCAAGGCATAAAGGAAACTATTTGAAAATGTCCATCTGTAGTCGGATTCGTGATCAAAGGTTAGCTTATTGTCCAACAGTACGCCGCCGCGCATGCTCTTTATAAGAACCTTTTGGAAATCCATTAACTCTTTAGCAGCTAATTTGGTCCAGTTCTCTTTGTACAAAATGTTTAGGTCTTCAGTTATAGACCATAACTTTTCGACTGTCTTCGATCTAATATCGTTGCTGACAGTCTGGGGCTGACTGAGGTTTGGTTTTGAGGCAGCAACTGCTGTTTCCTCTGTGACTGTGTTGCCTTCTATTGCAAGAAAAAGAAAGCCACCTAGGAGGTTGTAAGTTAGAACCAAGAAACATATCGCAAGACAGGTGAGAGGAGAAGCCCTTCGCTTGTGAACACATCGGCAGCAGAATAGCCTTGAGTCATCTATACCTCTTCTTGTAAAACAGCATTTCGGTTCTTCCATAAAACTTGCATCGTTGCCATAATTTCGCTTAGACAGTTCCCGACTGCCGTCTTCAAGCATCGTGCGGTTTTATTGAGACATGCTACTCCTTCACCGTACTTTGTATTTTTTGTGGTGTCTTCTCTTCTTTAGTCTTGGCATTCTATCTCCTTTTCAGGTGTAACAGGAATCTGAAACAATGAACAATGTTAAATTATGGAGTGCACATCTCGCCTTTATGGTGGATTCAACTAGTCACTTAAGTGATGATCGTGGTTTCATCACATGGCACGCTTTTCTTCACTAGACATTGGAAATACAGGACTGTTTCTTATGACGATCTTTGGGAAACCTATGTCCCATAGTAGATGTATTTTGGCTAATAACGATGGTGAATCCACAGACTTCTTTGTATTTGTATATTAAATTCTACTTTTTTAATTCTAGAAGTGGAAGAGAGTCAACCTGCTTTAAATCTGCTATGAGACTAAACAATATGAGAAATGACTCAGAGTCAGTGGTCTAATGCATAGACGTTTGGTGTATCAGTAGCATTAGGTTATTTGACTATGCCGATGCCTATGCTTATGACCGATGCTCAAGTCCTGTATTCGTCTTTATTGTTGACATTACTGGTAGTAGGACTTCTTGTGAGTCCGCACGGATAGGTACCATCACCTTTTCTATTTCTGCCGTGAAGCAGTAATGCGTTTCGCTCTGAAGGGTGGGGTGGCCGTTATAACTATACTGAGATCTTAGAACTTATATCTTAAGGTTGGTGGCGCATTTACGTTGTAGATGTCTATGGGCTCCAGTAACCCCTTGACACCAGGTGGGCTGTGAGCTGGTCCACCCATCTAAGCAATAAATAAAAGAAACTTTGAGCTTGCACAAATAGGAACTAGTATCTGACTTATTTTAGCCACAAAAAGGTGATGAATCCAGGGTTAAAGGTGACGATAGCGTTATCATAATATAAATGTATCAAGTGGATATATGATAGCGCATCCAAAAACTTCAGTAACCACTACGAATTCATATTTTCCCCCATGGATAGTATCTTGCAGAAGATCCCTTACGAGGCAATAAAAAAACACAAAATTATTAGATATTAATTATAACAAAAAAACCAGCTTGATCCACAAAACGAAAAGTCATAAAACTTTTATGATTGAATTCTGTTTACGATGTAATAAAGTTGTATACCAATTCGTTATATTAGTTTTAGCTTAACTATTTATATATTCTAAACATAACTGAATACACTTAATGTTTCAAACAATTCAAATAAATATCTTTGTAAAGATCGCAAATATTCGAAATGTTTCTTTTAAGTACAACATAATAAATTACAATAATTATAAAAATCAACCGTTATTTTGTATTATTTCGTCTATTTAAGAAGTGTTCTGTTCCAAGATTTTGATCTATGTGGAAAACTGGGTGATAGTAGTCCACATTGTGGTATCAACGGAATTTGGAACAAATTCACATCAAATTAACTATTAAAACATCCATCTACATACGTTAAAAGGTTAGAAAATATCACAAATAAAACTTTGCACAAACTAGTTCAATCCAGATATCATTCCTATGGAAACAAATTTAAACTTTTAATCGATAATCGCACAATATGCATTCCTAAGGATTTATCGGTATGTATTCATATTAATGCAAAACCATATTCGATAATAACTAAGTTTGAAGCTTTATCGCACCAAAGAACATTGACAAAGGAATGCTGAGCCGACCATTCAGGTCATATATTAGTCTGTAAACTCTAGACCCTATTCCAATTTCCTTTGAACATGAGTTCCAAGTTATGAAGCTTAAGCTTTATAGTTCAATTGACTGGATATATTGATCTATAATATATATAGTACACCGGAATCTAAGTCCATTAGGGCATACGTTTATGGAAATTTAATTAAAAATTAAACATGGCATGTAGATTGCTTGAAGTGGACAGATCTACCGATGTTTGTTCTGAATCAAATAATCTTGAATTATAAAAATAATAATTTGAATATATTTATTACTAGTCATACACGAATTGCTTTGCTGGCAAATTTTTGATTTGGCTTTGATCCGATCGCTACTAGACTTCACAGAATCACTAGACCAAACTGAAGATTTCTTGACAAATTCTATCGAAATCGGTCCAGTGATTTCAGAATCTACAGGGAGCATACATAGGATAGAAGAAAATAAATTTAAATACAGCTTTTAATCAATAGATATGAAGAGATACGAAGCATTTATGCGATATATTTTATATATTGAACTATTAACATTCGTATTAAGCTTCTCTTGTTTCTCGAGCGCTATGTAATTTTTTATAACAAGCCGGCACCGATTTACTTTTATGCCTGGTATTCCCACCGTCCAAGGTTGGCGACATACCTCACCTACCTTTAAAATTAATAAAAAAGCATACCTCAAAAGCATAGCGACCATGACTTACGCTGCAACTACTAGTCCTCCACCACTTTAGGCAACGCACTGGCGTAAACGCTGGTGACCGTGGGCGGCGGTGAATCACTTACCATCAAGTGACCCGTCTTGCTCGTTTGCCTCTTAGTTGTTATAAAAAAAAAAAAAAAAAAACTATCCAAAATTTTAGACTTGTATAGCTGGCCATCCAAAATTTAAAAATGCATGAACCTATATTTTATTATTATAACACTGCCGACAACCAAAACAAAACCAACAAACCTAAACTTTAGGTGTAATTTTCTGGACATTCCCTCTGGGAGATAAGAAGCTCGGTAGTCTTTCCTTGAATATTTATGGGCAACATGACACCATACCTTTATATATTACACGTGTAAACTCGTATAAAGGCTACGACCCTTTTCTTTACTTGTCTCATGGGTTTCACTTTCAGGCTTAAATAGATATACCTCGATGAAAGAAACATTATTTTTGTGGGCACATTTCGTATTTAGACTAACAGGCTTAAATCTCCAACCGTACCAATCAATATTAGGAGAAAGAGAAAACTATAGATGATAAAACATAAAGTTGAGAATATATTGTTGGGAGGTGCTGCATGGAAATAAGGTGACTTTTTTTGTAACTGGACTATTAGGCCAGTTGGGTAATTAGTTAGAAGTCTAGCTATAAAATTTTAGATCAACTAATTTTATTTTCATAGAAGGCCCGACTATACGGCGTGGCTTTTATAACCGTCGATCGGACGTAAGAAAATCAGTAGTTTAACAGCAAATCGGCTTCTTACCAAGGTATTTTCGCAATCATTGGCAGCCACCGGAGTTATTTGCGTCGGTACATTTAAAGGATTGAACATGGCGAATAATCAAAAACCTTTAACATCGAATTTGGCTAAGTACATAATATAAGTTTCATTACTGTTTTCATCTATATATTAATACGTGAAGCAAAAATTTGATATCCCTTTTTACGAAAATTGCGCGGACGGAGGAGTATGAAATTTTGCACACTTATACAGAATATAGAGAAGAAGTGCACAATGCTAATATTTTTTCAAACTAATGCATAAAAGATACATTAAATCAATAAAGAAAATATTACACACACTACATACCATGTATTTGACGCACACACGCATGCATACTATTTATTGTCAAACTTTTGTTCTTGGCGTCTGTTGTCAAATTGAGAATAGATTAAATATTGTTGGTAATATTTTTAACAGTGTAGTCTTGGCGAAATTTGTGATTATAGAAGTATAAAATACTATCATAATAGTGTACAAACTTACAATTCCAATTAATTATAGTCGAATTTCGACTACTGCGGGACCTCTAGTTTTATAAAACAGGCCATTATAACTAATCTGTTGTTTATTTATACATATAATTCATTTCTCGAACTTGCAGTATTTGACAATTAATCTTGCTTGTCTTTATTTAAGGGGAGGAGTGATTAGCGCCTCAATCGTTACAGGGGGATAGTATAGCATTTGTTAATTTAATATACGCAACATGAAGCATTTTGACGCAACAGCAATGTGTTTTTGATAATGAAGTCGTTTACGAATTTAAACCAACAAAACTCACTACATTTTTTATCCCAACATATTTAAAGTAATACGTAGCATGAAAAACTAAAATGTGATACCACGGTTTTTCCATTTCAAATTCTGTGTCAGACTGTTAGATAGACTGCAACAAAAGGCTTCCGTTCAGACCCTTTGAGCAAGCTTAAGTTCTAGACAATAATGCTTTTACGCTACCAACGATAAAAAGGTATAACATTAGTGACAATACCTTACAAGGACCTTGCTTTTTCATATGTTCACGTATTTCTATCATTGCTAGTAATCAATTTATCTTGATAATTTTAAAAGATTTCCAAAAAATTTGCCTGTGTGGCCTTAGAATATTACTTTACTTTCGTCCTGTATTTCGTAAAGGACGACTCAGGCATTCACCGGCAAATTGGCAATGGCGTTTTCTGGCATTGTACCAGCGTAATGCGATCACCAACCGACTTTTAGTGTGGGCAGAGTATGTAAGTTCATGCTTTATATTGTAAATAAACCCAAATTAGACATCTCCGAAAATAAAGCGAACTAGTAAAATTTAAATTGATTATATTTTTCTAAATATGTTAATTATCAGTAAACGAACATGGTGTAAAGTCTTCCGACATGTCTACGACCTAATCTCGGTCACAATTCCGTCACTGTCTTACTCCATCTATTACCATTGCCTTGCTAAGTGTACAGCCCAAATCCATTTCAGATCTGCTACTTTCTTACCGAAAAATAACCGAAAATTTAATTATCTAATCTGGAAGGTAGAATTGTTGAATTGGTTGAAATACAATTAAGACTTACGAACGTGAATCACTCTACTAACATGCTTTTAAAAGTTTTTTCAGAAACTTTTAAATGTGTATCAATACAATGTCACTATGAAGAGCCATGGTCAAAATGACCTTACCTAACTCGTAACTCTGACTGATATTACAACATTAAAGTGGAAATAAGCCTACAAAATTTCATACGAAACAGCACTGGAACACATTTCAGACGTACTACATTTACACGCAACGACATTAATTCACCGGATGCGGTCGGACTCTGACATGCT